TGGAAAACAACAACATTGAAATGGAGATGATTAACACTAGAAACCCAATAAAAGAATTGATGGAATTAAGCAGATGTGTTTTTGGTCATGGATGCCAACCATACCTGGAAATGCCCTCCAGTACATGATTTCTGAGGGGAAAAGTGCTAGATAATAGAAATTAAACTTAGCTGAAACTTTGGTGATCTGCACATTTAAAGAAGATAGATTCTTGTTAATTTGATCGAAGACCACCAAAAGATACTAGGGCATTCTCTACAGTCAGAAATAGACAAAAATATCCTGCAGTGGGCAACCATTTCTATATTGCAACCAAAGAAGCTACGTGACCATTTCCACAAAGACACAGGAGTTAAAACTGACTTGAAAAAACCCTGACTTTAAGCAGCTTAGTTGATATGTATAACCCAATTGTGATTTTATTATTGATATGATGTGTTTTTGTAAAATTTGCAAAGCTTACTGAATATTTGGTGGTGCATGTGCACTAGAAGGGCAGGAAATACATTTTATATAGAATTAAAATAAAAGGTGCTTTTGGAAATAAATGTCATTATTGACAAATATTGTATATCGCAGTGGTGGCGAACCTATGGCACGGGTGCCAGAGGTGGCATTCAGAGCCCTCTCTGTGGGTACACGCATCATCGCCCTAGGCCTTCAGCTGGGTTTTATAAAACCTTTTCGCTTTAGGCCTCTACCGCCGTGTGCAAAAAAAAAAAGGTTCAATCAATCAATTTCAACTTCTTGCAGGAAAAAAAAAGATCTTGCAAAGTTGGAATTGATTGAACTTTTTAGTCCCACCCAGTCTGCCATTACCACCGCAGCGACGCCCACCCAATGGCCACACTCACCCAATGGGCCACACCCACCCGGCACACAATGATGCATAAGTGGGTGTTGGGTTGCAGTTTGGGCACTCGGTCTCTAAAAGGTTCGCCATCACTGGCACATCGGATTGATTTGATATTGTATGTTTGAGAGCGAGGGAGGGAGAACCAGTTGCAAAATATTCAGTTTCATTGACACTTTTTGCTGTTTGCTAAGACTGTTCAGGTAAATGTTTGTTTTTCTCCTGCATGGAGAAATTGACTCTGTTGTGGAGCAGAAAATATTTTCATCAAAGGCCACTCTTTGACATTATATGGACAGATGAGAAGGTGAATTGAGCCTCTGGAACAGAATTTTAAGCCCAGCTTTAAAGGAAGAGTGGCAAACTGTGGCCTTCCAAATATTGTGATATTAAATAAGGGTAAGTGTTGGTTGTTCCAAGTCATATCACAATAAACATTTCTGAGTGGGCACAGTTGACACTCTTGAAATTGTATTTCTGTGTGGCACTGAGAAAAATCTACATGGAAGAACAGGTGGCAGCTGCAGCTTAGAAGGCCTTTGCACAAATCTATTTTTGCCTCCAGTTGTATCCATTCCTGCATGAAGAGGCCTTACTCACATCTACTAATGCTTTATCACTTCTTTGCTGGATTACTACACTGTAATGTTCTCTACCTGGGACTTTCCTTGAAGATCATACCAGCTACAGCTGGTCCAGAATGTAGCATCCTGGGCAGTTACAGGCATTCCTCTGTGAGATCATGTAACATTTCTGTTTCAAGAGCTGCATTGGTTACCAGTAAGCTTGTGGGTACATTTTTTTAAGGCAGTAACTTAGTAAGTAAACTTTCCTCAATCTAATTTATGGACTCTGCTATCTGCATATGTAGCACAGGTGGTCATTCACATACCCTCAGATTTTTGGCTCTCTCCAGATAGAAGGGAAACCCTGAATAATTATCATCTAATTGCCATTGTAATATGCAATTCTCAACCTCTTTGGTTTCACAACCATCAGCTCTGAAGATGGTCTTTCTTCCCAACCTAATGAGGCAAGAATTGTTTTGATTTGATTAAACAAATAATAAAGTGAACAGAATTCTACTCCCTTCTTGAAACAGCTGTGATGTTTCTTTATGTTATTTGCTTTAAAAGCATTATAAAAGTCCCATTTTGTACTTCGGCCTTCTGTGATTTTTTTCCCCCATTTCATTTTATTTGGTAGCAAAAACAGTGGGCTATATTTCTAATAACTAGCAAGCAGATGGATGAGCATATCCAGAGATCTGTTTTCCCTTTACAGGTTCTTCCATCTGCCTTGAATAGCTCATCTTTCACCAAGAAATATTAGGATAGTCACAATGTTGCAAGAGTTGTTCATTTATAACACTACCCTCCTAGTTATTTTGCTCAAAATATTCATTATATACTTTCTGTTGAGTCCTAGAATTGAGCCTCAGGAAAGGACTGGGAGGAAAAAAGGGCCAATAGATAACTAAAAATAGGAGACAAATAGTTGAAAGGATTTTTATTCAGAATCATTAAAAGTTTGTTTTTTTTAAAAAAAATCTCACTTGTGCACTCAGAGAGAACCAGTTATTCAGTGAAAATTTTAAATGTTTAAGTTAAGATAGGGCAAGTTGCATGCTTTCTGTATATGGGGGTGGGGGAGTCTTGTGCATGTCAGACATACTCCAACGAGAAAACATCTCAGAAAAAAAGTTAGCAAGCCTCCAAAGAGGCAGGCAAGGCTGTTGGGCTTATATTAGGAAAGCAGCCAACCAGCTGATGGGAGCGCCAGTGTACAGTGTACAATGGTTTCATTCTAAAAGCTTTTTGTGTGATTGATTCACAGGGCTCACTTCAGCAACCACTGAGATGAAGGAGGAAACAATAAGAAATGAAGGACTCACATCTTTCAGTGAAGTGACAAGAGCCAGGGCCCTAGAAAAAAAAAAAGCTCTTTTTAATCTGGTCTAAGTCTGGCACACCCCAAAGGAGCTGCTGCACACAACTTTCATTTGCAACATGAAAGGTGTTTTTATAGGAAAGGATTTTTTTCATGCAGCTATTTCAGGGAAAGGAGTAGGGCTGGAGGACCCCCCCCCCAAATATGACAGCCTCGGGCCTCTCAGGCATTTCTCTTTATGATCACCAAACTCCCTGTCCCGCTTGACCGTTTGTAATTTAAAAGCACTTTCTTGAGTTCCAAAAACAGAAATGAAACTGCCATGCTGTAAGTCAAAGTGTCAGACTTTCCTCCGCAAGAATAAAATGAAGAATGATTGTATCATGGTGTTTTGTTTATTCATTTCAAGTATATAACAAGAGAGATATTTGCATTGACTAGGGCTTGGATAAGTGTTTAAATGTCTGTAATATATTCACTTAGCTGCTTAGCTGAGGACTGGCCCCATCAATCTGGATTTTCTTCCATGAAATGTTTTGTAGCCATTATCTTACGCCCTGGCTGTGAAATACAGTGCTGCGTTATTAGTGCCACTTTACATTATCCTTGAATAACAAGGATTGACAATATTTTCTGGCGTCTTTCCCTCATCTTTAAAGCAGTGCCCTGTAATTTGACTCCTTTGAAAAGTACCTCCTCTTAAAACAGAAGTAGCCTTTGAAAACGTTATGTCTATTTACATTTTCCCCCTAATTGGAAAATTGACACTTCTTTTGCTTAGTAAATATCTAGTTTGCCTGTCTTGGAAAAGCTGAAGGAGACTTACAGAATAAAACCATATATCACACTTCCCTAGTCTGATGACACGCAGTTGTGTTCGTGGCTCAATAGCCATGGGATAATGAGAATTTGTAGTCCAGTACCTCAAGAAAGCAGATTTCTACCCAAATCATACTTGGTTGAGAATTTTCAAACGGATATCCAATAAATGTGAAGGGCACCTGGTTGTGGAAGGCTGATCGATATAAGCTGTTTTCTGCTAAGAAAGTTTAGCAAGAAACTTCTATATTGTCAAGAGCCACCTCCTACTGCTACAAAAAGAAGAGTAACTGCTCATTTCTAAGGCTCTGGGCAACAATTAAGTTTTTTTATTATTCCTAAGACTGGAGGAACAAGGCTGTAATATTTCTGGAGAGCAGTGTTTATTATGCTCTTGTTTTGCTTGATTGTGGCTTTTAAATCTTTATTTTACCTCTATTTCCTAAACTCCCGCTTTGGGTTTAGATCTAGCCTCAAGATAGGCTACAAAAAAGTAGCTTCAGGAGCTGCTTTCTTTATTACTATACAGGCTGAGACAAGTATGAAGGGCAAGGAGTGTGGGTAAAAAGATGGTTGTAATTATAAAAGAGTGTGATGATGTGAGCAGATGACTTTGTTGAGATGCTTGTTTATAATTAAGAATTTACTGCTTAGGATATGCCAGGTAAGAGAAAACCCTGGGCCACAGGTGTTCTACTCAATTCTGTGCCTTGGGACAATCTCTGAGTTCACACGTTGCCAGAGGGGGTAGTGTGTTTGGATAAGCAAGCAAGAACCCATCTACTCCCTTTTCTTCCCAGCTTCCTACCAAGATGGCTTATTATGGCATTCTCAAGAACAAAAGCCTATACAGCTAAGTGGTATAAGGCAAAAAGAAACTGCTGGAATTTGCCATCGATGAGATAATTTTTACCAAATGAGTGCAGGTGCTTCAGCAAATCTGCTACTTGAATAGCCTTTAAGCTTCTGTTTTTGTTTCCTTATCCCTGAGATATATTTTCTCCTCTTCTTTCTTAAAGTGCACATATTTAATATTGGTAGATTGATGTGAATAAGTTCAAGTTAATAGCCAGCAAGATTTTTTTGTCTGTGTATATGTGCGTATTTTTAATTATTGGCATTTTATTCTGGTGCAAAAGGAGGAAATTCAGAATGTTATTTTCTCAGAATGATATTACAAAACTTCTGTTCTACTGGATTGGTTAGTAAAAACCTATTAGCAAATAATACTTCATCAGTAAAGGAAGGCTGAGGAGTGGGATAGATGCACCCTTCTTATGGAGCTAAGAGAGAAATGAAGGGAGGGAGGGAGGGAGGAGAGGAGAAGGAGGAGTTAGAAGAGGAGTCATCTATATAGGCCCTTGTTTCTTTGCCAGCAGCTTCACTCACCTGTATACAATTGCTGGTCTCTTGTGCCAAGCAGGTGACTAGTCAAAAACACACTGGATATACTATAGCCTCAGCATTTTGCTATTATGAGACAAGTGGTGCTATTACTTGATAGACTTGGAATCAGTTAAAATAAATAGATTTCAACTTGGAAAAATTGAGTCTTTTTGAAGAGGCTTGGGTTCCCAAATCATAGATATAAAGCCTCAGCAGACATAATATTGAAAATGGCCTTTTATCAGTGCAGGAGAGGATTATTATGGTATTATGGTAGTATTTGATGTTTGCTTCTTAAAAATATTTTAGTGATCTTTTAAAAATCTTTGTTGTGCCTATTAAGTCAAACTGTTTTGGAAATGTATGAGTCTAATTGGTGTTGGAATCTTGGATAGAAATGCTTTATGAAAAGCCCTTCTGTATGGAGAAATGGGCAGGGCAAAACTCTCTTAAGAGTTTTCTCCAAAGCCTCAAAGAAGAATAGCAATAACTGTGCAATGAGCTATGGATGTATTTTCTCCCTAATTCCCCTTTCTGGCTTCCTTTGGCGGAATGACTCTATCATGCACCTGTGCATAACTGCAAGAAACCAGCTGGTATTTTATTGGAGTCTCTTTGAACGTATGTCTAAATAACAAGAAAATGTTGCCTGCAGGATGTTTGCAGTCTTTCTTGGTGATGCATACCTTGAAATATGTATGAACGGCTTCAGATACTTCTACATGTTATATTTTGCACAAGCTTGTGCCATTAAGCCAAGAACTCGACTTTTGTGGGCTGAATGAGAACATGGTGGCTTAGAATGAAATGCAAGACATCAAAATATTGCAAGGCCCCCTAGAGAACTATCTTTTGTGGCTCATCTTTCTCAGAAATGAAGGTTGGAACAGTTGCTGTCTGGGACCTCTTTCAATTCTTTGGTCCCCAACTTGAAATCTGCAGCAGAAGATTGGATTGACTCCAATGTTTTTCTGGGACTTGAACTAAAAATCAACCACAATCTGGGTGAGAAAATTGCAGGGTATAATTTAGATATATGGATGAACCACTCTACCTCTGCAGAGGAGTTTCCCTCCATATATGTCATTTCCAATTTCAATTTCCTTTCCCAGAAGCTTGGAGAGGGGACGGTGAGAAGGTAATTTTCTTCCTGGCTGTGAGCAATATTTTACTTCTCTAGAGTGCTGAACTCCTAAATGGATGCAGGAAACTACTCATTAGATTTAATTCCAGTGGACACAGGAAAGGGCTGTATCTCTTCACAACAGCTTTATTCTGCTGGTGGAGAGAATGAATTCATCGAATAGTCATATTGAGATGATCTGCAAGTTGATCCTATGTGAATGTATCTCCCTTTTCAACTGTATCAGATCAACAAAAGGAGATAGCTCATTTTCAGGATTGGATGATCTAGGCCAGAGGTAGGCAATCTTGGCTCTTTTATGACCCGTGGACTTCAACTCCAGAATTTCTGAGCCAGCCTTGCTGAGGGGAAAGTGAGAGGTTTCCATGATGAGCCATGCTGGCTCAGGAATTCTGAGAGTTGAAGTCCATGAGTCCTAAAAGAGCCAAGCTTGCCTACCCTTGATCTAAACAAACTAGTGTCTTCTATTGAGATTATCTCTTGAAATTGTGCATAGCTCAGCATGTGCTAAGTGAATGTGAGAATAGAACTACTGGATCATCCCTAGCCCTTCTAGTCACCATCCCATCTTTATACAGTGGTTCACCTGATGTAGCATGGAAGCCCACCAATAGGAGACTAAAACAGACCTCGTCTTCTATAGTTGCTCTCTAAAGCAGGGCTTTTCAACCTTTTCACCGATTGTACCACTTTTAGGATATTGCAATATTTGAGTACCACCCAGCAAGGTGTCAAAAACCTGATGACCAAAAAAAAAAAAAAAAAACAAAAAAAAAACTGTTCAAAGTTGCAATTGCACTGAAATGACTTATGACCATTTTTCACACTTATGAAAAAGGGTCCCAGGTTCATGTGATTTATATTTGGATGCTTGGCAACTGATTCATATTTATGATGGTCACAGTGTTCCAGGGTCATGTGATCCCCTTTTGCAACCTTTTGACAAGCAAAGTCAATGGCAGGGCTGCTGGTGGCCAAGTGCTAAGGTGGAACTTCCCTCCCTCCCTCTTTCTCATGCCCACCTCCTTCTGAAGGAAGAATTTGAACCCCCTCATATTTTCCCTCTTCCATATATTCATCAAACAAGGAAAAGCCTCCAGAGACAGAAAAGACAAGCTGCTGAGTGAACTAGCTTAAAAAGGCACATTCCCCTTTAAGAATTAGCTACTGGCTAGAAAGGAAAATTAAGGAAGAAAAAAAATGTAGTAAGTATTGGCTGCCGGCTAAGGCAGCCTCCTCAAATGGCCCCATTCATAAGTAAAGGAATGCTACAGGCAAAATCCATTCAGGAGAAAAATACTTCAAAATCCCTTGCAGCAAAACTTACAGCTAACAATAGCAGAGCAATAGAAGCTAACAGGAGACATCAGCCATCAGCCAAATAGAAAATGCCAAACAGTCCTTAAGAACACAAAGCCCTCATTGCACAAATCCCAGAACTTCAAAGTCACAAAAGCACATAAGAATCCTTCCACTCTCCATCTCCCTCCCTCCATGTCTCACCTCCAGTTGATGCTACCTTTCTTCATTCCTCCTGGAGGGCAATCCCTCCCCTGCTACATTTCTTGCCTGTTTGTTGCTGCCAGCACAGGTGGCTGCCACAGAAGTTGTAGATCGGCTCATGGCTGGCCTGCTTGATCTCCTTTCCTCTCCCCCCACCCTCCTTCTTCCTCTTTGGTACAGCTAGAGCTGACTCCACCTCCTCCCAAGGCTCCTTCTTTTTCTCTCCCTCTCCCACCTCCTTTTATAGCCTCTCCTTCTCTGCCCCTCCTCCTTTCTTATGGGGGAGGGTGAGCCAGAAGTGAGTCTGGGGCCTTTGCCTTGCCCCAGCCACTCTGTAGCTCCAGAGGACTCTCTCTCACAGTAAGTCCTTGCCTGTGCTGTCACTTCCCTTCCCCACTACACTTGGCTAGGCAGGGCTGCGTACCACCTGCCACTTGTTAATGTACCACAAGTGATATGCGTACCACCTGTTGAAAAGCCCTGCTCTAAAGCTCAAAGGGTACCTCCTTGTGACTTGAAAGTGTAATTCAAATTTTGCCCTTGTTTGGATTAGTTTTGTGAGCATTGTGCAGACAAAGCCATAACATGGAGAAATTCAAATAGGTACGAGCATAATTTCCAGAGATTGTGAGCATGGCTTTTAGCAGAAGCAGAACAAAAGGCCTTAAAAGAAACAAACTAATCTTCTGTTTAGGTTGTCTAATTCATTTATACAGTATCCCAAAATCCAGATTTCCTTGGCACAAGTGCATGCAAGTTCTGAGATCAGAAAGATAAACTGTGTTGCATACAGAACTGTAGTGCTAGCTTAGACATAGAGCAGTGTTTCTCAACCTTGACAATTTTAAGGCATATGGACTTCAACTCCCAGAATTCCACAGCCAGCATTGCTGGCTGTGGAATTCTGGGAGCTGAAGTCCACATGCCTTAAAATTGTCAAGGTTGAGAAACACTGAGATAGAGAATCTTTTCAAATTTTCAGGTTTTGGAATTTTAAGAGCATATTGTGGTTCTCACAAAACATCTACCATGAAACTTACTTGTGCACTAAATTGGCATCACAGGAGGTATGTTCAATCACGGGATGCCAATTTATTAGAAAACAGCTGGTGAGATTCTTCCTACCAGTTCATTTAGTGACTAGTCCCTTCACAATGTTTTCTACCATCCCAGATTTCCACTTCTGTTCATGCAAATAGATACACTCCCAAACAAAGCACTGAACTATAGCCACCCACCACCACTGTTTTTTTTTAAAGTGCTTCTGGTATAAATATTTTTGCAAGAAGGTAGCACTTTGCTAACTTCAGGAGATCAAGGAACCCAATGGGCACTAAGGAAGGTGCCCACAAATATCACATTTTCTACCTAAAGAGAGGAATGGACTTTGCCTCTCCACTGCACCATGAAAAAGCCTAGCTTGTTCCAACTGATGGCAAAGAAAAGCATGAACCTGCAAAGATAGAATTCCTTCAGAGTATGATTAGTTCTGGTAATATCCCCGATGGCTTGCCAGTTTTATTGCAAGAACAGTCTTGCTATATTCTGAAATGCTGCTTTTTGGCCAGGACAACTAGAGAGAGCAGTGATAGTTCCATGATTCACTGGCCATTAATGGGGCATTAATCATGCTGCTTTCTGACTTTCCAGCTGCTTTCCGGCTACAGCATTAAAATCAGTAAGTGTCTTTTAAAACTATCTGCGAAATCCCACTGACTTTACAAGCTTCTGATGAAAATTTAGAAGGAACGTAACAGTATCTCTTGAAGTGCTGAATTGTTTCCTGTGATAAAAATGAGGAAGCAATAATAGAAATGGAACAGTTTGCAGTAACATCTGATCATATCTGAAATCTCATTTCTTATGATGCTCAGGAAGAGAAAAATAGACATCTGGAAATGGAAATCTAGGGCTGGCTAGGTTTAAAGATTTTCCTCTGGAAAGAATTGCCTTTAATTCCTTGCAGTTTGGAGATGGCTGGATTGTAGTTCCAATGTTCTTGGTTGATGTTTCTTATTGATGGACAAAGAAAAAAATAATATTGACTCACAATACCACATTTGAGCTATTTTTGGCTTTTGAATCTTACAGACTCCCTTTAGGTATCAATAAAACTCTGATAACGTCAGTGACAGAAATAGGCAAACATTCAGGAAATCTGCCAAAGGTTGAATATTTTTTGTATAGAACAGTCTTTGTTTAATTTGGATGGATTGGAGAGGAAAGCTGGTTCTAGGACTGTGGTGGTGAACCTATGGCACGGGTGCCACAGGTGGCACGCAGAGCCCTTTCTGTGGGCACGCATGCCATTGCCCCAGTCCTATGCCTTCAGCGGGGTTTTATAATACCTTTTCGCTTTAGTCCTGTGCCGCCGTGTGCAAAAAAAAAAAAAAAGTTCAATCAATCAATTTCAACTTCTCGCAGGAAAAAAAAATCTCACAAAGTTGGAATTGATTGATTGAACTTTTTAGTCCCACCCAGTCTGCTGTTATCACTGCAACCACACCCACTCAATAGGCCACACCCACCCAATGGGCCACGCCCACCTGGCACCCAACAATACATAAGTGTGTTTTGGGTTGCAGTTTGGGCACTCGGTCTCTAAAAGGTTCGCCATCACTCTTCTAGGAGGAAGACGTGACACTTCCTTAAAACTGGTATTTTATGCCATATTATTAAAATAGCAAGCTAACGAATGAGAGAAGAAGTATAGCTTTCCACATGTTCCTTAGCACTTCAGATAAAATATACACATGTTGTTATTGTTATTGTGTATTACAACTCTACAATCCATCCAGACAAAACTACCCAGGGTTAGATCCATATCTATAAGGCATATCTGTTTGACATTTAGAGGTAGGCTTAACTGATAGTTGCCCCTCAACAATAAAGAAAAATTCAGAAGGTATTAAATTTTCTGAGAAGTGCTGTCCATGAGAGCTAAAGCCAGTTTAATTAATTTATTCATTAAATTTATTTGCCAGCCATGTCATTTTGAAGTTATATAATCTTTGTGACTGATACTACTAAATAGTTAGTGATAATTCCCACAGTTAGTTAACTATGAGAAGGAAGTGAAGAGGAAGGAAGTTTATAGGAGAAGAGAAAATAACAAACCAACTACTGTATGCGAGCTTATGGGGATGTTTTGAAGAGATTCCGCCTTAATTAAACTTGCTGTAAGTCTGGCTGAGAATTTGCAGTTTGAAAGATTGTACTGTTTTTATATCAGGTTAGCCTTAATGATGCCTTTCTGAAAGCCACGGGGTTCTTGTTTCTTGGATTTGTTAATTATATGGGGCTTGACAACAGTTCTGTATATCCTGAGAACAGTAAATCTTTCACCATTTACAAGCAATAAATCCTTGGGAAGCCTAATAGAAGTAGGATACTGGAATGTGAGAGGATGCATAAGGGGAGCACGGACATGTTTCATGATGACTGGGTTGTCAGCAAGCCAAGACTGGAGCATTCTGTCCCTGATACTATCTTGGGTGCATACAGTCATCTCTCGGTCTCTCCTTTTGGTTGTGAATAAGATCTTCTGCCAACTATGTTGTCACCTGTCCTAAGAAAAATCATTTGCTCTCTGTGTGTAGTTGGGCAAAAGGAAAAGACTGGAATGGAGATGGAAGCATTCCCATTTTTTCTCTCCAGAAAAATGTCCCATGCCCTGGCAGAACTTTCTAAACGCAAGAGACCAGAAAGGAGAAAAAAAGGTGTTTGTATTGCAAACTTCCATTTGTAGTAAATCCAGAGTGTCTCTTTAACTTGATGTACTCATGTAAAACTTAAGAGAGCACATTCTTATATGTTTGCTCTCTTTTTCTTGCTGTGTGTATGTAGCCTTCTGGTAAGAATTCAAGATGCTGGTCATAATTTACTAAAACCTGTGATAGCCCTCCTCGTGGCCCAAAGTGGAGAAAGGCATAAAACCTGGAAAGGGAGTTTTAACTTGGCTTCCTTTAGAGAAAACTGTACCCACAGGAGATATTCAGTGAAAGGTTGATCCTACTCTCTTTTGTTAACGTGACCCAAAGCACATAACACAAACATACACAGAAGCAATAGAATTAGAGGAGAACAGAAAGATGCACTGTGTCGTTTGTCATAGAGGAAAATGCAGACCCTCCCCATGTTGGTATGTAAAAAGTTCCCACAAGCGTGCTCTGCATGTTTTCCCTATCTTGTTTCCCTTATGTTGTTTTGTAGTCGTGCCAGCTGAGTTGTCATTGTATAGAGAAATGCAGAATGATAACGCTTGCACTTTGGGTGACAAAATAAAACAAGGAAATGACTCTTCATGGATTTAAGCTTTTGCTTTCTTGCTTTTTTACAGTTCTGTTGATTTGTGAACCATGCGTGAATACAGTGAAAGCAAGGAGACATGTGTGACCATCTGTCTCAAATACCTGCTGTTCATCTTCAACTTCTTCTTCTGGGTAAGGAGCCACTATTTGGTGGTACTTCCCTACATCATGCTATAAATCTAGGGTATTGTAGGGGTGTAGGAGTAATTAGGGTTAATTTAATGTAGTGTTGTGGATAGAGTGTTAGATTTGGATTGCAGAGACCACCAACTCAGCTTATCATATAAGGCTGTTGCTATTGGGGGGGGGGAAATGGAAGGAGGGAGTTATGTTTGTTGCCTTGAGCCTTTGGAGGAAAGACAATATATCAATCTAATTAATGCATGATATCTATCCACCTTCACTCTGTTTTTAAGAATGACGAGACAAGGCATTCAGGCAAACGTTTGCCTTAGCATCTATGTACCTTTTCTGCTCAGAGGCTTACAACTTTCTAAAGCCAACAAGTAATTGGTGATTGAAGAAGGTGGCATCTGAAATTTTCATTTGCACAGAAGGGTGGTTTCCCCCCTGACCTTAAGTCACTGGTTTTAAGTCCTTGAACTGGATTTAGGAGTTACTGTCTTTTTCTCCTTGTTTGAACTGCCTGCTGCATAGTCTGGAAGCCTATCAGAAGACGTTCAGCAGTCTAATAATGGGATCCTAGATAACATGGAGGAGATAACGTATAGATAACGTATTGGAAGGCCCTTGAAATGCAACAAACATATAGGGTGTTCATGTTCAGGCTATATAATGAATTCTTTCTGTGCTTGTATGGCTCAGATACTTTTTCCTAAATTGAGCTTTAAGGAACATTAATGCCTTTGCCAGAATCACAAAACTCTCAGTTTTGATTTCTTGATTGGATCTTGATAAATTCCTAATCATATAACCCAGAGAAAAGTGAAAGTAAAAAACAAACTTAGACTTATTCTAGAGAATGGAAGTCTATAAATCTTAAAAGTTGCCCAGGTTGAAAAAAAGCTGTGCTACAAGGCCCACGATTTCCAGACACGGTCCAGTGCATGTGGCGGATACCCGATCGAAGAACATTGAACTAGGTGGTTCTGGGAAATTTTAATGCCAGTATCTCTCACTCATCCTGTATGTTTCTTTCTCCCTCTTTAGCTGGCAGGAGGAGCTGTGATGGCAGTGGGCATTTGGACCCTGGCTGAGAAGAGTGACTATATTAGTCTTTTGCAGTCTAATATATACCTGGCAACAGCCTACATTCTGGTGGTGGCAGGTGCTGTTGTCATGATTACTGGCATATTGGGTTGCTGTGCAACCTTCAGGGAACAACGGAGCCTGCTGAAAGTGGTGAGTTTCTCTTATTTAAATGGATTACTCCTGGAACACAGAATGGGAAGGGGAATGTGCTTAGTCCAGGGGTCTCCAAACTTGGCCCTTTTATGACTTGTGGACTTCAACTCCCAGAATTCCTCAGCCAGGCACGCTGTCTGAGGAATTCTGGGGGTTGAAGTCCACAAGTCATAAAAGGGCCAAGTTTGAAGACCCCTGGCTTAGTCAGATGAAGGCAAGCTAAATTAGAAAAGAAACCCAGATTTGGGGCAGCTTGAAAGAAGAGCTACTGTTTCTAAATATGGAATGACAAAATACAAATCAGTTTTGCTCCAGCAAGATTATTTGGTGGGAAAAACTAACATATTTTTTCTGATATAGAGAAAACAAATGTACAGGGTTGGTTGCTTTGACGTCCTTTTTCTGTACTTGTGATATGATAAAGAGCAGGGTAAGCATGGAGTCTTCCTCAACTTTACAGTGTCCGTGCTGGCTGAGGTATTCTGGGAGCTGCTGTCCCAAAGCATTTGGAGGGAGCCAAGTTGGGGGAAAGGTTGTTATAATTTAAAGATCAAGTCACCCTTGAGGATATTTTTGAAGTTCTTCTAGTAGCATCAGAAGATGTTGGTGTTGGACATGGTTTGCAAGCCAGGCCATTCCACTCTGGTTACACACAAGAGCGCACTGTGTTGGAAAATTATCCCTGTTTGTTTCTGTTCCCCAAAGCCAAAAATTACAGATTAAAAGTTGGTACAGTCCTTTAGGTTGTTTTGCCACAGAAAACTAATACTTGTCTTTTGGGGAAGAAAAGAGCTGTTTGTTCCTGCTTTTTCTCCTCTAAGTGGCTGGCTGTGACAGGTCGATTGTCTTCTGATTTGGAGCCAGAAGTTCATTTGGCCTGGCTGGCTTTGGCTTCAGCTGTTTCTGCCAAGTCTGAGCTCAGCTCATATTTCAAGCATCTCTGTGATTAGAATAAAGAGCTGTGTACTGGTATATTCCCATTTCTTTCTTATTAAACAGTAAGATGAATGGATATGATGGTCCACCGTGGTGAGTGAGCGTCAAAGGAGAAGTGTGTCTCTTGTGGGCTTAATGATTCGAATCTGGAATCAAATGCCTTGGGAAGAAGGCACAGATTTCAAAATATGTTTTCTTCCTTTACCTTCTTTACCCCCATTTCCTCTCCTCCCTCCCTCCCAGTTGCTATGTAAGTCAGTTGTTGCCATTCCAAGAGTGGGGCTATTGAGGGGAAAGTCTTTATGATCCCTATAACATGGGTTGGTAACTCTTAACAGCCACAATGACAAAGTTTCGACTTGCATCTTCTTGGTGATAATCCATCATGTTCCTCATATCCTTAAGTTCAAAATAAACTCAAAATTCTGTTGGTGAGAAGCTTAAACCTATTGATGGGCATTCTTCCTCCCTTCTACCTCACTTGGTGGAAAAAGTTTCTGTCAGTAATAACATTGATAAATTGTCACCCACATTTAAGTATCTATGTTAGTAGGGTGTGATGTTGGTGTTTTTTGGGAGGGAGTTGGCAAAGGTTGGGGTACAGTCGGTTTTTTTTTTGTGTGTGCCTTCTGATCAGTATTGACTCCTGGACTCTGCCTGGACTAATCCCTGCAACTATCTTGGCAAGGTTTTTCAGAAGTAGTTTGCCATTACCTTCTTTCTAGGGCTGAGAGAGAGTGACTGGCCCAAGGTCATCAGCTGGTCTTGTGTCTAAAGCAGAACTAAAACTCTCAGTCTCCTGCTTTCTAACCTGGTACCTTATCTACTACTGTACCGAACTAACTCTAGAATCAGTTACCATATTTGTGTTTTTTTTTAAATACTTGGGACTTATGTAGAAGCCAAGTCTGTTCTTGCAAAAAAGAGAATTGTATTTTACAACTTGCCAGCTTCTTTTTTTAATTCTATGTACATATTTTTTAAAATATCAAAAGGAAAACCTAGAACACAGCAAGAACGCTAGTAAACAGTAGACAGGTATCTGAAGGTGCCAGATGCAAATCCCAATTCCTACTTTGTCAATTGCTAGCTCACAACTGGCAGGGATTAATAAATTTGTTGTGATTCTATAGATAAGTCTTTCTCCTGCGGGCAGAGGATGATCACAGTTCTAGATCAACATGCTTAGAAGGCATCACATTTGAGAAGAGATTACTGACCTTTGATGATCTATAGCAGAAACAGCTGTGCCCTTGTTTAATTTGGGAACCATTGGCTCTGATCGTCTGTGAATGGAAAGAAAAATATAATCTAATTGGCCTGTATTTGTACAATAGAGGAATACAAGCATGAAAATCAGTTTTCTAGCTCATTGGCGAGTTGTTTCCTTTTTAAAGATCTCAGCTGGTAGACGGATGACGTTAGTAACATTACTTATTCTGTTTCCAACAAAAGTGACCTGTGGGTGAAGGCGTGTTTCTGTTCTGTTTTGCAGCTCCTTTTAGTGTGAAGTGCAGTCTTGAGTTAGCTAGCTCTCTCTTTGTTTACTTGTGCCTGTGGTATGAAAGGACATCTTGTCCAGCAGCAGATGTTCAGAGGCTTCAACAAACTTTGTGGGATGTGAAGGGCTGAGATCAGCCAAGAGAGGAAAAAAAAAGTTTGAGTTTTATTATTTAACTGAATAAATGTGTTTAGATTCTAGCCTTCAATTGTGTTTACTACTAGCATGTATAAATTAAAGGGGGGATTCCCACTCCAAAAAATAAAATTAGAAGCTAAGAGGAAATTAGGAAACACTGTAACAACAAAAACCACCAACACAACAGTCTCGTAATATTTTTTTTAATGCAGTCCTGGCCCAGGCGAAGGACCTACCAGGGGCCTAGCTCCAGGGGTCACAGTATCCACTCCCCTTGGGATTGGGGCCCCAACCCCTGGACCAGATCCCCTAGAAGGAGCCATTGGTGGAACAGACGACGGTCTCCCTGTTCCCCCCCTCGTTGCCTGTCCATCGGTTGGCATGCACCTTGACTGCCAACCCTCCCCTGGTATACGTCACCCCCATAACTGGAATCCAGTTTGAGCTTTGGACTAGCCAACCAGAAGCATCCTGTAGCCGGCTGTGCAGAGGAGGAACCGGGCTGCAACCAGGAGGCTGCTTCTGTACCCTGGTCCCACCATTGCTAAGAGGAAGAGTCCTGGTAACCAACTTCTCCAAAATGCACTCGCAGGATGTTCATTGTGGTTTCAACGGGAGCTGTGGAATAGCTCCAGTCCTCCTCATCTTCCTCCGTTACACGTCGCTCCCGCCATTGGGATGTCAACTGGCCCTCATCCCCAGGCCCAAGGGTGTGGCCAGCCATCAGCCCGGTAACTGCTGGGCTACACCACCACTCCCCGGACAGGACGTCCCCACCTGATGTAGCTCCTGGAGTTCTGGGACTTCACCCGACCGTTCCATTGGCCTGGGCTCTGCCACCTTGGGATGTACCACTGTCTAGTCAGCATCCGGAGGGTCCACCTCTAGAGCCTCAACTGGTGCCGCCTCAGGGCCTGCCCCAACAGGAGCCACCTCCTGAGTGCCTTCCGCCATAGCCCAAAACAGACAAGCCAACCAGGCCGGGTCCAGGTGGCTCCAGGTGTGCAAAAACGGGGAGGCACAAGAAACACGATGGGAGGGGAAAAGGGAAAGGGGGAGCATGAACTTTCTGTCACTTTTGGGAGAGGATTGTAGAACAAACACCAAATCATGACACTTGCTTCCATCAGAATTTTGTTTTCTTTTTAAGGCAAGGGAATCTGGAGGTAATTTAGGAGCCAAGGCAGGTTAAAATAGCAGAAGGTAGTTGGAAGCTATGAAGGAGTTGAAGGATAAGTATCAGCAATTTGAATTTTGTCCTGGGTCAAGCTGGAAACCACTGGAGCTTTGTCTCCACTGCCAGAAGACAGTCACTCTGGTCTCCCAGTTCTGCCTCACAAGTAGCTTAAATTCTTGAGTATTTAGCAAGAATGGCTTCATGTATAATCTATTGCAGCAATATAACTTGAAGAAGTCAGCAGATGTCTATGGAGATTCTCAGTCATCCAGGTCATGGTTGTCCCAAAGGTGCTTTTTCAGGAGGCAACTTGGACTTTCTTGTTTTTCTTTGAAGAAGTTTCGCTTCTCATCCAAGAAGCTTCTTTAGCTCTGACTGGATGGTGGGGAATGGAAGGATTTATATTCCTTGCAGAACAGCTGGTCGTTGCCTTCTTTTAGAGAATTGTTGAGGCCATTTGGAAGTTTACCTGTGTCCTCAGGGTCACTTGAGTAGTGCAAATGGGTGTGGAACCTTCTCCTCCCTTCTACCTTCTTTTTTTTTTTAAGTTGGGCATCTCTGGGCAGGGAATTTGCATTTCTTGTACAGTTAGACTTAAATGTAAACAAACCTCACCCCCTTCACTTCTTTCGCTTCTTTCAATCTCTCCCTCCTTGATTGGAGATCTCAAGGATAAAGGGAATGTCTATTCTTTGAATGGAACTGCTCTACCATCCTGTCAGACATTCCTCCATTCCCAAAGCCTCCCATTTTCCTTCCACATTCCCAATTCCCACTATATGAGGTTCTTCCTGTAATCCAAAAGTATCTAAAGTCTGAAGTCCAGTTACCTCCTGAAAAAGCACCTTTGGGACAACCATGACCTGGAATCTCCCCAGGCAATTTCCCTTTATATTCAGAATCAACCAGAGCCAGTGAGAATGTACAGCCCATCAGAAACTTTGGGTTACTTGGTATATGTTGCAAATGCAGGAACAGTATGAACTATTTCAATGAATAGATATTACAGATTGACCTTCCTAAATTGGAAGTCTGTTCTTTTGTAAATTCTTCCTCTCTGCCATTGAGAGGGAGATGATAGAACAGACTGGCATAGGGAACAAGGGAGTCATTCGGAAGACGTGTCTTCCGAAGCTATAGACCAGACATGTCAAACACAAGGCCTGGGGGCTGGATGTGGCCCGCAAAGTGGTTTCATGTGGCCCGCGAAGTCATCCTGGAAACAGTGAGGGAACGGCCCCTGCTGCCTTGGCCCTGGCCCAGGCCAGCCGGGAGCCAATGTACAATTTTGTGATGGCCATCTATGCTGAAACGCATTCAGTCTTAGCTCCACAAGGCTGTCTGGAAACAGTGAGGAACCAGGAGAACCTTGAGCAGCAGCCTTGAGGAAGTGGGGCTGGGCTTGGTGCTGCAGGTGCTCAGGGGCTGGGCATTTGACCACTGCGCCCAGGGCTCCGGGCAGCCCGCACCACCAACCCCCCCCACATGGCCTGAGAGGAACAGTGATGCTCCTCCAGTGGACCATGCCTTGGCACTTGCCCTGGTCCCACCCCCTTCTGCCAGAAACCCTCAGATCTGTCCCACTCTTGCCCAGGCCCCCACAGGCACCCTTGAAGCGAATGAGGTAGAGCTGGCCACACCCACCCAGTAGGCCACACCTACTCCATCCACACCCACCCAGTAGGCTGCACCCACCCTGGCCACACCCAGCCAGCCCCCTGAGGGCAACCGCAGTGCTAATGCGGCCCTCAGTGAAATTAAGTTTGACACCCCTGCTATAGACCAAAGGCAAAGGAATATGCAGGAATGAGAAATGGTCCATCAACTTGGATCCAATTATTTGACACATCATGGGTGTCAAACTCGCTATGTCACGTGATGGTGTCGTGACATATTGCGACTCTTTGCATTTAGATGTTCATGTGGAGGGAAGAAATATTCTTAGCAGTGGGGAGAATCCCTGATAGTGACAGCTTGGAGTGCTTGTAATAGGCCTTGAATGGCCTGGGGAATCCTTGAAAAGGCCCTGAGCAGTTTACAGGTCCTGAAGTAAATATGAGAGCTCTGGTATAGAAGAGAGCCAAAAAACAATGGGGAGCAGTCATGAGTGATAAGTGTAAATGACAAATTTGTAGAGGCATGAATTGAGTAGGTTCACTATCTATGTTTGACAGGATTATTGAGCCTAGCTCCCAAGCATGTCATAAATTGGAGATGTCTAAGCCTGGTGTGGGGGTGAGAAGTTAGTTTTGTTGCTCTCTCAGCCATCATGTCAATTATAAATCCTGCAAAAGATTGATGGGAAAATTCTCAAGGCAATGGGTAATTACTATATGAAGGTAATGAACCTGCTCAGTTGTCCTCCTTCCTTTCAGGCAGAGAAGCAGAAGTTTGACTTCAGAGGCTACTTCAGCAGCAACAGCTTATGAGGATTTGAGCTGGAAGCGTGACTAGAGCTACTGTTGTGGCAAATTCCTTGCCACCTGTTGGGCTAGAACTGGTTCCTTGTCTGGATTAACTGATCCATTGGATTGCAACTTGATATTGAGACTAGAGCAAGTGATCTTCTGGGTTGCCAGAAGATCTGTAGCCATAGCTTTATCTTAGGAATGAGGGGGGACCTTATAGGAGGTATGGCAGTTAAACTCCCTCCTAATTCCACATTGCCAAGCGGAGAGAAGTTAGGTAAGCAGATTAATTGCAAAAAATTAGGAGGTAATAAACATGAAGAAGTTATCTATATAGCAGCACTATATAACTCCTGTCCTCAAGGCCATGTAGTTGCTTGTTCTCTGACTTCTCTGTTTGTCCCTTTTTCTGGAGATTTCTACATGACCTATTGGAGATTTCTACATGACCAGTTTTAAGCCTCACATCAGTGTTAGTGTTCATCTGATTTCAATGTTTTTAGAGATTGCTACGTAGTTGGATTTTTTTTTAAAAAAAAGCTTATCTCCTTTATTCTTTTTTGAAGTTCACACCTGATAACTGGGCCCAAAGTGCTTGCCTACATTTTGTTGACTTTTCTGTACTTGTCAGGAGCTACAAGAAGCTCAGCTATTTCAAAATGCTTTCTGCCCTGAGCAATTAAGCATTCCACCATCATCTAACAAGCTTGTGATGAGTTTTTACTGATGTCAGCTGGAGGGGTTGCATTTCAAAACAAGTAGTATTGGCAAGAGGCGTAGGAGTCACAGCTGTGAAAGCAATGGGTAAAGGAACATAATTTAGTGGTAGAGCACATGCTTTTCACACAGAAGGTCTACAGATCAGTCCCCAGATTCTCTCATTAAAAGGATTTTGGCTAGCAGAGCTGGAAATGATCTCTAGCCTATTATTTTGGAAACCCATTGCCACACAGTAGATGAAAGTTTAATGTCAAAAGCCGTGATTTAAGTTCATTATGATTTATGGAATAAAGCACAATGGGTGTAATTATGCAATGTGCTAAGCCAAGCAAATCTCATTTTGGTGAATTTATACAGCAGCGAAGACCTGTTTTTGTCTCCCCCCCTTAATGTATCAAGAAGCTATCAAATAATGTATCAGTAAAACTGCCTTCTAAACAAAGTAGATGCTTGTTCCACTTCCGAGTAAGGTGTACTTTGTGCAGCTTGTTCTGAGCATTTCATAAAATAACAAGCTCTGAAAGTCGAAAGCCATTCTTCCACTCCTAGATAGAACAGTTGGCTGATACCCCCCCCCCCAAAAAAAAAATATGGGGCAACCTCCAAATCCAGTTCCTCTTGAGCAGGAGTACATCATGCCTGCTACGTGTTCCCTGCCTTGCCATGCCATTGTTTTCAACGTTGGGTAGCTAAGTCTGCCTGTTCTGTCAATATGCAACGTAAATCCCATGGTGTACAATGCTCTGCTTTAACTTCTTTGTTCATTTTGTTCCTTTAGTATTTCATACTGCTGCTCTGCATCTTCCTGCTTGAGATAATTGCTGGAATCCTGGCCTGTGTCTATTACCAGCAGGTAGGTAACATGAGAAACGTGGGTGATCAGTGAATAGGCTACATTTCATTCCCTACAGGTCTTCTCAGCACAATGAATATTTGTCCACAGAGATCTAATCATTCTTGTCTACTGTGAGCCCGCACTACTGTGACAGTGGTAGTCATGGGGCTTTTTGGCTTCTTTCCACAAAACCCTGTAAGCAGATCTGCTGTGCACAGAACCTCCTAGGCTACAGATTTGTGCATTGGACTAAAAATCTACAATGAACCTACATTGTCATCTGTGTGTCTCAAAAGCCATGCTATGATTTGAAGCTGCAGTGCAAACACTTCTTTCATTAACTTTGTTCCAGTGCTACAATAAAAATGCATTTAATTATAAACCTTATATATAGGCATTGATGTACATCCATTGGCCCAAGCAAGGCAACTTTTACGATGTAGTAAATTTTAATAAACCAGGAGCATAAAATGTTGCTGTAAATGATGTAGAGCAGTTCAGCAATTCACCCATGCACACACCTGGGAAGATCTTTACCACCAGACCCATTTATTTATTTAAAACATTTATGTAGCTGCCCATCTTATACCAAATTCTGGTAGGCTTCCAATTGAGAATTAAAACAGTATCAATAATAAAGCAACCTTAAAACCATATTAAAACTATTAAAACCATAAACATTAAAAACAAAAACCTGGCACCAAGTTAAGCTTCTGACATGCAGTCACCTCATTCTATCCCATAATAACAAGAGCAATAAGACATACACAGCTTCATATTGCTTTACAGCACTCTCTAAGCAGTTTACAGAGTCAGCATATTGCCCCCAACAAACTGGGTCCTCATTTTACCAATCTTGGAAGGCTGAGTCACCCTTGAGCCCATCAGAATTGAACTCTTGACACTGGACAGAGTAAGCCTGCTATACTGCATTCTAACCACTGCACCATTGGCCAATTTAATGTAACATGAAATTGATCTGCAGTGAGTTGCTTTGAAGCCATTTTCATGAATTGTAAAATTACCATCTAAGGCAGGGGTGTCAAACTGCCAGCCTGCAGGCCAGATGCATCACGCGGAAGCCACGCCCACCCCATTGCCGGTAATGGCAAAACAGTCCCAATATGTCACGTGACATTGCACGTTTGACATGTCTGATCTAAGAATACTCTGCTTACTGCATCTGGGCTAGGAATGCAAATATAGATTCTGTTTGATTCTACAGTGGTTAACACATTCTCTTATTACTAACAAAAGGTGATTGTCATTGTAACATCTCTTGACTGTTCACATAGTCCATACTAAGCCCAGACAGCTGAGAAACAGGGAGGAATGAAGATGTGAATGGGTGACACCTAGAACTGTTTTTAAAGTCATAAGTGTCCCATATATTTTGCAATGTCCACATTAAACTGCAAATACATAGAATCCTAGTGATGGATTCTTGTCTGCGAAATTCACTTAATTGAAAATGTTAACTAAAACATTCTTAAAAGTCTTTATTTTGGTCTGCTTACTACTGACATACTAATTGCTGCTAAACTTACCGTTGCTGCTCTGTTTTAAGGGACTGTAATGCTTCTATTGTACATTAGTTTTATGATGAAATAATACAATCATGGGAGGGGAGCTGTCCTTGAAGGACCATCTGCAAATAACAAAAGAAAGAAAAAAGTGCTTGGTAGCAATCTGTTTATTATTGTCCTGATTGATGCATGTTTTCATAATTAATGTATATGCTGATCTAATCAATAGTGGGCTTTTTTTTGGTATCCCAGAGGGTGAGTTTGCAACAGTTTTACTACTTAAGAAATAAACCAGCTTTAACCTGAATGTGACGGGAACAAAAGACCTGACATGACTATCTTGGTTCACACAACAGGCTAAATCCTGGCTGCTTAGTTTCTTTGCTTGCATAACAAGCTGTCCACAAACTAAGAAACTATGCCATAGTTTCAAATAAGTTAACACAATGACCAGGTTTCCTCAGCATGCTAAACCACAAAGTGCCCAATTCCATGCTAGCTTTGTCTGGCAAATGCAATGCAATGGGTCAGATCAGGTGGAAAAGCATGGAGGTTTGCCATCTCTAGGTGCTTAATAACTTGGTCATGATTTGACTTGTGGCTGTGAACTGTCACCTTAGCTTCTCATATGACTTAAATATGGATTATTAAAAAAAATCCTATGATTTATAAGGGATTAGTAGCATTAAAATGTCAGGTGTTGAAAAGATAAGAAGGTTGAATCCCAGTGGAATAAAATACAGTAGTGTTGGAAAGCTTGTTCCTATCCCTTATGAAGTCTGCCAATTGCAGAATCTGATCTACGTGAAAGTGGACTGGAAGCTAAAGGAATGCATGGCAAACATTGATGATGGAGACAGGGAAGGGGAAAAGGCATGGCATATTGAGCTCTTTATTCCTTGTGGGCTTTTAGTGATTGTGGGAATCCTCTTGGTCTTGTAAGCTTTATTTTCTCCCTCTGCTAGTCTTTCTTTGGCAAGCTTCCTGTCCTCTACTCAAGGAATTGGCCTTTTGTGTTGCTTTTTGTATTTCTTCCCTTGCTGGCACTTTCTTCCAAAATGCCTATAAACTGTGTGTGTGTTTACTTTTGCTGCCTCTTTGTCATGCTGCAGTTCCTCCCTATCAACCCACAGGTAATCTGCTTTTGTTTTTCTGCATGGCATGGGTTAATGGAGGGGCTTTTAAAATGTTCTAATATTGTTAAGCTGTTCTGTTTTGCATTTTTTTCTTGATTATTCTGCTCTAAAACTTCACAACCCTTGGTTTCCAAATAAAAAGGTGATTTGGACATAGCCAAGATGATATGCTACCTGATTGGACAAGTGGAGTTTAAGGCTTATTGCTGGGTTGATAGTGCACAATATTGACCTTGGCTTTTTTCCAGATACCCTCCTTTCCTCAAATGCCTGCATGACAGTGTATTAGTTTAGACAGCAAAGTTGTAGATTGGGCATTTGACTATAATGATCTTGGCTAATAGGGTTAATAAAAATTACGGATCTTGTGCAACTTCTCACATTAGCAGTGGCTATTAACAACTTGATGAGTTACTGGTCCTCCATTAGATGAAGCCATTCTTTGCTTCAACATATAGGGTAGTGTTTTCTTTCAGTTGTGGGGGATATTTGAATAAGTGATTGTAGCTCTCAGTGCCCACAATATACTTCTAAAAGTAAATCCAGGCAACCAAGAGAACTATGAATCTAAGTTCTTTGTCTTATTTGGTTTGTAAAGCATGAGGCAGGATGTGCAGGAAAGATCAGAGCAGTCCTTCAATATATTAAAAAAAGAAATGAGCAGGACAAATTGACATATTCCATGAGCATTTCTTCAGAAGCTGGAGAAGACCTTGAGTAGCTTTCTCTGATGATCATATTGGGTAGGGAATGGAGGGGACTGCTGTCCAGGTTTTGGACTGAAACTTGTTCAGGTTTTGGACTGAAACTTGTTCAGAAAGCCTGTTCTAGAGCATTCAGTTTGCACAGCATTTCAAACTATCCACCTAGCTCAGTTTGCCAAATTTATATTTGGCCAAACTGGGCCCCAAGTCCCAGGAGTCATTTTTAATTACATGAAATTTCTCACAGAATAGTTGGTAACAATTGTTACACAGGGAACTGGGTTGAAGAACCATATTGCTATATCTTATTTCTGGGATTAAAAAACCATATTGCTATATCTTATTTCTGTCCCCATTGTTGATGTCCTGTTCTGTATAGCTGAACAACGAGCTGAAGGAAAATCTGAGAAACACAATAATCAAGAAGTATAGGAAGGAAGGAGAAGAGAGTGTGACTAATGCGGTGGACAAACTTCAACAGGAGGTATGTTTAAGAGATATGGGAGTTAATACAGATTAAGATCTAGGGGAAGAAATGGGAAAAGCTGAATTTGTTTATATTTTTATTTATACATCAGTCATGGCAGAAAATAAAATGGCGCTTTTCCCCATCTTCAGATTGTGATATCTTTGAGGCATGTTTTCTGGGTCCATTTTTATCCATACAGATACTTTCAAAATTAGGCTGCAGTTGTTTTTGGCCAGATTATTGATCCAATTTATCCTGGATCCCTGGGGATTTTCCCTGAATGGAAGTCATAATGTGGTCCTTCCTTTCAAGAGAGCTGTGGATGAAAAGATTAATCAAATGAAGACCCAACAACACTACTGAAAAAAGTGCTGGTGGACTTGACTACTGCCAGTTGAGGGAGCTTTTGCCTATCCAGAATGTAGGTGCATATTTGGAAAGAAGTAGCTTTAGGACCCCTTATCTGCAAGTAACATCTGAAGGGGGCTGCATTTCCACCAAATAACTGTGTTTGAATGATTTTTTATATGGGCAAGGCACTTGTAAATGTATTACACGTAGATAGCTTTCCCATTTCATTCTGTGTTGACTTTTCATGGTCTAACAAGGCCTGTATATTTTTAGCAGTCTTGCCTCATGCGTGGAACAGCAGATCCCAAAGGAGAACCACAAAAGTAACTGGTTAAAATAATCTGCTGGTCCTATTTAATGATCAAGTCACTGGAATACCTCTCCAGTTCTTATTTCTACCCTCAACCATTTAATAATCCTGTTGCATGAGAAAGTTGGAAAAACAACTGAGTAAAAGTGGTAAATCACTTCCTGATTGTCAAGTATTTTTCTTGAAGCTATTAATCTCCAGTTACAGAGAAGCATGGCATAAAATGTAATTAACAGAGGAGCACAATTCTCTCAGAGAGTGGAAAGGATGTGCTTCATCTTCTTTTGACCAGTGCAGCAGGGCTTCAGATCAATATGTCTGGTTATTTTAGAATTTAGATGATCATATTGGACGTGGCTAGACACTTTTAAGGTACAGTGTGTATGATTTGGGAACATACTGAGTACTTCATTCAAAAGAACAAGATTGAGAGCATTTTCCCAACTGGTGGGAAGTTTTACTCATCTTTTTATTTTTAGAAACTGCTGATAGGAAAATGGATATTTCTACTCTTCAGTTTATAAGATCACTCTATTTTATTTCAACACTTGTGAAAGTATGTTGCTGAAAGCCCACCAGTATACCAAGTCTAAACAGGAACATCATCCTAACATCTATTCTTCCTGACAGTTGGGATAATTAACCAGTGGAACAACCTGCCTCCAGAAGCGGCGAATGCTCCAACACTGGAAATTTTTAAGAAGAGACTGGACAGCCATTTGTCTGAAATGGTATAGGGTTTCCTACCTGAGCAGGGGATTGGACTAGATGACCTCCAAGGTCCCTTCCAACATTGTTGTTGTTGTTGTTGTTGTTGTTGTTGTTGTTATTATTATTATTATTATTATTATTATTGTTATTATTAGATTTGCAGTATCTGAAAGGTTGTCCCGTTGTCCAGTAAGGCAGAGAATGTGTGATAGTGGAGGGATCATTCAGCATATGTTCCAAACCGTTCAGAAATAAAACCAGCTGCATTTAAATTAACTTCTCAACATACATGAGATTGCTGCCTAACAGTATAATATGAATGCACAGGGAATAAGCTGCTCTGGGCTTGCTCAGAGATTATACATATATGGGTTTTGGATTCATGACACAAACTGGAAGCTTGGGATACTTCTGGGTAATCATGATATCAGATGGAAAAAGACTATACAAGGAAGGGAAGAGACTCCTTTTGACCATAATTGAACAGAAATGCTTGAGCATGCCATGTCTTTACAGGTAATTACATTTTTCAGCAATGATTCTTCCACACCCAGCTGATATATCATCCACTTGCCGGGAGTGTAGCTTGATATAGTGAGAAAAACTAAAGTAGCTTGTTCATTGATTGAACAAACCAGTGGAGTCCAGCGTAGGCCCATGGATACGAAGCAGAAGTGGCGTGACCAAGAATGGCTTTACAAACAATAGGTCCTAATATCTTCCAATTAAGAGGAGACTCTTAATATAATTGTATCAAATTCAAGTCTTCATTAGCTCCAGGTATTCCTCTACAACAGAGGTCTTTAAACTTGGCCCTTTTATGATTTGTGGACTTCAACTCCGAGAATTCCTCACCCAGGCATGCTAGCTGAGGAATTCTGGGAGTTGAAGTTCACAAGTCATAAAAGGGCCAAGTTTGAAGACCCCTGCTCTATCTACAAAGATGAAGCATTCAGTGCCAGAGGGTTGTTCAGCCTTTTCCTTACATTTCTTTCAGATGGAGTTTACTTGTTTGTTTGTTCAATTTCTTCAACTTCTTCTCAGTCACTGGGTTACAGTTCAGAAAATATATTACAAAAATTCAAAAAACATTTTAAAACAAAAACAGTAAAACTGGTTAAAACAACATTTAAAACTTCCAATTCAAGATACACATATTGCCCGTTAGCAATATAGCCAGGAAATGGAGCCCTTGACACATTCAACATCCCAGGCTTGGGAACATAGCCAGGTTTTTAAGGCCTTACAAAAGACTAACAGGACTGGGGCCTTTCTAATCTCCAAAGTGAGGATTTTACATTGAGCCAGGGCCACTGAGGAAAAAGGACATTTTTCTACTCCCTGTCAGCCAGTATTCTTTGGCTGACAGGATTTGCAGCATAAGCATCCTGCTTGATTTAGTTGGACAAGTAGAGAGACTCTTGCAAAAATTTGATCTCTCAGGTACCTCAGGGCTTTATAATAATAACAGTTCTATCTTTAATAGAACAACTGAGGATTTGCAAAAGCAAGTGAAGAGGACTGACTTGAGTGCAGGTTTTTTTTAGAAGGAGCTTTCTTGAGAAACATTTGATGCCTAAACTGTACTGTTACACATTTTTCTAGCTCCCAAACTGAAAAGAGACATTGTAAGCTTCCAGAAACAAAGTAAATTTTACTGCTTCTTGTAGAAAGAGATGCACAACCTTGTAACTATTTAACGGCAACAAGAAGCTTAGTGAAAAAAGTTTTATTTTTTATTGTCTGGCTGGTGGATTGTTGTGTACTGACCTTTTTATGAAAAATGGCCACAAGTTGTGCATACTAGAAAAATGTGTTGTCAAAGACAGGAAACTTAGTTTTGTAATTTTGGCCCAATACCTCATGCAATTTTGGTTTTCTCATAATGTCTCGTTGCCTGTGTTTTTTAGTTTAAGTGCTGTGGCAGTCATAATTACACAGACTGGAGTGACAGCTATTGGTACAAAATTGAAAAGGAAGGAAGGAAGGTCCCAGACAGCTGCTGCAAGACAATAACTGAAACATGTGGTAGAAGAGATCATCCTTCAAATATCTACAAAGAGGTAAACAATTTTTTTTTAAAAGAAATCAAACAAACCCACGGACCTCTCCTATTATCGTTATGTTAAGAAAACAGTGATGAGACCTTTGATTGTTTATGCTCTTTGATCAATCATACCTTGGTCATTATGCATTTGAACATCATAACAACCTCAATCTAGAATTATATCATAATATACCTAGATAGTCCTCGTTTTACAACAATTCGTTTAGTGGCCATTCAAAGATATAACAGCACTGAAAAATGTGACTTATAACCATTTTTCACAATTACAAACTTGGTAGCATCCCTATGATCGTGTGATCAACATTCAGTTGATTGGCAACTGGTTCATTTTTATGACCATTTCTGTGTCCCAAAGTCATGTGATCATCACCTTTTGTGAACTTCTGACAAGCAAAGTCAATGGGGAATCCAGATTCACTTAACAACTGAGTAACTTATCAACTGCAGTGATTCACTTAACTGTGGCAAGAAATGTTGTAAAATGGGGCAAAACTCACTTAAATGTCTCTTAACAACATACATTTTGGGCTCAGTTGTGGTTGTAAGTTGAGGACTATCTGTATTTATCTTGATTATGTTGTTCTAGAGAAGTAAACATATAAGCAAATAGATACTTATATTCCTTGGCAGGGCTGGCTCTACTGAGGCGAAAGATTCTGGAAGAAAACAGTGCTAACCTACTTTTTTTTATTACGAAAACGAATGGGAATATCCGGAACTGAACTCACCCTAAAGAGTATTTTTCTTCTATGTTTTATTGTGCACATAAGCTTTTCAGTGTGAAGAGTAGAGAAGTACATATTTTAAAGTGCCCATTTCTACTCCAATTCTTTAGAATTGATTTAAGTGCAAAATTCCATTTTTCCACCAAGCTGGTTGATGCTTTCAGCCTCTAGGATACTTTGCTGGATGATGATGATGAAGCAGTCCCTTTCAGTGGGGGCTCAGGGTAGGATTAAGGGACATGAAGGCACATGAATAACTTCTGCAACTAAGCTTGTTTTGGCCATGCAGAGGCAGACCAAACTCTGCCTCAGGGCATAATTGCTGACTGCTGAATCCAGGGGACTTTTTTTTTTTTTTTTTAAGCTTTATCCAAAATGTTGGGGAAAGAGACTCTTCTGAAGGAAAATTCCTTCACATTTATCTGAATTTTCCCTATATTTTTCCCTGCATCTTTTTCCTCTCTCTCTTTTTGTCCTTGTTTCTAAACTGTGAGCCTTCCTTCTATCATTGCTGCTGTATAATTAAAAAAATAACTAAGAGGGCTGAGGTACTTTAAAGACTAGCCAGTTTATTATTGTATAAGCTTTTATGGATTGCAGACCACTTCTTCCAGTTCACGGAAGTTTAGATGATAATAATAAAATGGGATATTTTTAAGTTGTCACAAGTCTCTTGATTATTTTTGCTCTGAATGCTCAACAGGGGAACTCCACACAACCCACAAAACAAGCAATGTTCCCAAAGACTTAGAAACAATAACGAACCATTTCCTCTTGATGAGATTTTATTCCAACCAGTATTTGAATTTGACCTGCCACAAAGAGATTGAGAACATAACAGAGAAAGACTACTTTGGGGAAGATCTCTGTTATACTACTTAATTTATTCCGCTGCAGTTATATAGCCCTGGGAGGCAATTGATAAGGAGGAAAAGGTGGAAAAGGGCAATTCATGACTCCTGTCATTATTTTTAATCACTTGTTTTTATCTTTGTGAGAACTAGATTGTGACAAATGTGAGGCAAAATGGGCAGTAGATTTGAGGGCATCTGAGAGCTTCATGGCCAGTGAAAGATCTGACTTTAGATTGTCTCAGCATGTTTCCTGCTGGCTCAGTTTTAAAATCATGGGACATAGTCTTGTGTCACTACTGGGGTGCATGAGCGTGAAATGAATAATTAACATTCGGACATAAAAAAGAATATGTCTATAAAAAAAGAATATATGCTTGGGTTATGCAACCACTTATCCTGGTAATTTTCTGTGTTGCAAGAACTTGGCAGATCTGAAGGAGAAGCAAGCAAGACATCAACTGCATTATTTTCCAGAAATGACAGCTAGGCTTGGCTGATCCCAGATTATGTATCAGGCTTTGTTAGGAGTGTCCTCTACTCCTGGTTGAAAGATGACTCTACCCATCCTCCTTAAACCCACTCCATACAAGGCTTTATAGAAAGCTTATTAGGAGACGGGTGTCACAATATGGATGGGGATGATTCTCAAGCTGATGACGGTTTTGCCACAAGTATCAGCCTATGTTTACTCCATCCATTTGTATGTTTGTTTCTTGAAGGAGGTGACATTGTACAGCACGGGAAGATAAAACCAACTTAAGATAGGTATGAAAGGTAACATCATCTCAATGTTTTATTCCCAGGGTGGCTGTATCACAAAGCTGGGAAACTTTATCCAGGAACACTTGATAATTATCGGAGCTGTGGGACTCAGCATTGCATTTGTACAGGTATGTAACCAGCAAAGACTGAATTATGCATGCTTTGAGTTTGACATGCCACTTGGAAAGCCAACTTTGTCGTGGTTGGTAACTGGAAGGCTGTAACCAAAATTTGTACCGTAAGAGGCCTGGTGATCCAGCTTACCCCTAATTGATGTAGGGGTGAGAGTTTTTTATTTTATTAAAGTAGAACCTTGCTAAAGATTGCATGGTAATAAAGGGAAATCTCGTTTATTCCCCTGCCTTAGAAAAAAAATCTGAATAGAAAATACTTCTCAAGAGTGCCATTCTCTTTAATGAATGTAATAAAATTTCAAAGAGAAGCTAACATGGGATCTTACATTTCTTTCAAAGGTATTTTTTTGAAGCCTAAGTAAAAAACTTCAGAATGACAGTCAGTTCAAAGTTCTTATGCAAACAGTCTTAAAACCAAGATTAAGTGGTAGAAAGCTTATAGACCTGTGATGTTGTGTTAATTTCACAGTTTTATTATGGTTTTTATGTTGTTTTCGCTTTTGATTGGAGCCACCCAGAGTTGGACACGATGGGGGAGCTATATAAATGTTTTAAATAAATAAATATTTTAAATGTTTTAAATAAATGAACTTCAGGATTCATTGTGGCTTTTAGTCACTATATATCTAAACTAAAACAGTATATGCTGTTAATAAGTTGTTTTCATCCATCATGGCTACCACTTTTGTTTTTAGGATCTGTGGAGGCAAAATATACTGAAGCACAGGCATTTATTTATTTATTTAAAACATTTATATGGTCGCTGCGCCCCTCCCCCCAATCTTACGTACCAACTCTGGGTGGTTCCAATCAAAAGTGAAAATAACATAAAAACCATCATAAAACTATAAAATTAACCACATTAAAAATATTTTTAAAAAACCCTGGCACCAAGACAGATGATAGATCATGATTTGGCAGGTAAATACGAACAAATTCCTCTCAAAAATATCTTTAAAATATTGAAACAATTGTTATTTTCTATTTCTTTACCCAGGCAGCACCCCCCCCCACCCCTGCCAGTCATACATAAAGGTGTTGACCGGAACTTAACTTTATATTTTTACAACAGCAAATAGTTTAAGCTGAAACCTCATCTTACTTTATACTATATATGCACTGGAATGTTCTCACCCTTGTATCTTTTTTGAAATTGAGTATTTCTGGATCCTGAAGATTTATGGCTGTCATTTACTCTTGGAGGCTGTGTGTTCCTCCAGGGCAAAGGACTCTATAAACAAACACTACAAAGATGTTATCCCCGCTTTTTTTTTTTAAAAAAAATCAGGCAGTATTTAAAGGAGCATAATTGGCTCTGAAAACCTACACTCTTTTGCTATCTAGAAGCTTCTCTGCCTAAAGAGGATTTCTACTGTGTATGAATAGCCATGTGATTTCATGTTGTTTGGATGCTGGGTTAAAAATGATACAAGCAGCCCTATTTGTGGATTGGAACCTGCTTTTCAGTCTAGAGCTCAGTGACAAAAAAGAGACATTTGAGTTTTTGAATTATTTTAAATTGCATTTTGCTAAATGTGTAAATGGAAGTTCCAGTAATCTATTTCTTTTCTTTTTCAGGTGGGTGTGGGGGAAGGCTAGACAGTGTTCTTTTCAAGAAACATGAAAATTTGTAGAGCAGTCAAACAGCACCCTCTGGTGTTAATGTAGCACAACAACAAATCAGTTTGCAAAATCCTGAGGAAGGGAGAGGTTTTTGAACAGCCTCTACAAATTCCCCTCATCAGAGGTGTAACCCACTGTGACAATTACATTCAGTGTCTGGGAAATTAGTAGTTTTACATCATTGGGTATCTCCCTCCTCCTTGCACATTTGAAATAACTTTGGAGAGTGTTAGCTTTTTGTTTGTAATAAAAAGAGGAAGCATGCTGTGAAAACGCTGGAGAGACCCCAATTCTTCTAAGAACAGTACAGCTCACTTGATAATTTTTGTTAAAAAGGATCTGCACACTGTGATGTAATCCAGGTTTTGCTTTCTTACAAGGCCATAGAAAGAAATGTCCCTATGTATAACATATTGATTTGTCTTAAAAGCTCATTGCCACCCTGTTCAGTTACCCCGTGACTTACCAAGAGACAATCTCCAACTCCTTCCTATAGTCCACCTAAATGCACCCTCAGCATTTCTGATTATAGAATACAATTTGATTTAAAATTTATTTATTAAATTTTTATGCCATCCATCTCACTGATGAAGTGACTCTGGGCAACTTATAAATGATAAAAAAGATAAATAGAAAAAAAAAGTTTGTAAGAGCTAAGACCAAGACACCGATGGCACAGGTGAGATCTTCTTATCCTGTTAACCATCTCCAGCCAGCAGCACCCCCATGAAGCCATTGGCCGGGGAATTCTGGGAGTTAACATTGAAGCCTTTATTTGTCATCCTAGATTTTAGCAAAATTCATATAAAATTGCAGCAATCTGTATCATTCTGGAAATCGAAGAAACACTAAAACCAAGGAGCCAGTTTGGTCTAGTGGTTAAGGCACCAGACTAGAAAGCAGGAGACTATCAGTTCAAATCCTGCCTTAGCCATGAAAGTCAGCTGGATGACTTTGGGCTAATCACTCTCTCTCAGCCCAGCACCTTACAGTGTTGCTGTTGCTATGAAAATAGGAGGAAGAAAGTGTGTTAATGGATATGTTTACCACCTTGAGTTATTTGTAAAAGTAATAAAGATAGGATATAAACAAAACACATAAATTGCATGGGGCCACAGATGTTCTGGCTTAATATTATGCCCCTCCTCTTACTTACCTCTGTTCTCTTTGTCTCCTAGATATTTGGGATGTGCTTTACTTGCTGTCTGTATAATAGCTTGAAGTTAGAGCCTTACTAAGAGCTCATGGATCGCCCACCTGTTCAATTCCTCCACGTTCCAGCCCATCACCCTGACCTTTTCTACAGCAGCACAGAACTATCAACCTTTCCAGGACTTTGCTGCTTCAAGGAACATCATTGTAGGATCATCCAGTGTCTCTGCCAGAAATAATAGTCCTCCTTGAGTCAGTAAGGAGGGAAATCAGTGCTCAGCTAAGTTATTTTTTTTCCCCCACTCCAACATAATGGAGCTATAGAATGCAGTCTGGTTGAATTCTTTACAAGCACACAACCTGAAAGAGTTCCTCAGAGCTCCCAAGGACATGGTACCTTTAGTCTTCTCCCAAACCATCAATCAAGGTCGTTGAGCTCTGAGATATGACAACTGAGCATTGTGTGTGCGCAGTAGATGCTTTCTTCCTTTTCCTAGATATAATGTTTTTCTGGAGGTTTTCATAACATCTTGCCCAAGAGAATAGCTCTATCTGTCAATAGATACTTCTACTGGGAAAATTTTCCTCCTGATCTTCTACAGGATGCTACCCAGGGATGGATGAATAAGGTTCTCTGCACATTTTTTCCCCCTTCGAGGAATATTTTTGTCCTGGAGAAGAATATTCTTTTGTGCTTCTCAAACCAAATGTTGAAAGACATTATTTTGTTCACATAATTAGAATTTTTGGACTTTAAAAAAAAATATCAAAAACTGATTTCCTGCTCAAGGAAGGCTGTTGAAATAATCCCACTTTATGGAATGCAGTAGTAACTCTTCATAGAATTAGTTCCATTTCCAGAATGAACCTCTTTTCATTGGGGAAAAATATATTATCAAGTTTGAAGACTGATATGAAAGTCTCATTTACCAGCTAGGCATGACCTGATAGGAAGAGATCCACAACTTTGCTCACCTTACATTATGAGTGGGATTCATTAGGAAAACTAAATGTTGAGTAGGTGTTGTCTTTTCTAAAGTGATCCTTAAAAATTGATCAGCAAAGTGATCACTGCCTCTTTGCACCCATAGTAATACTCCATCTGATGCCATGGAGGAGGCTGACCGGGTACTGGCTCCCACCACTGGATTTATTAGCTTTCCCAAGAATTCATCCACATGGAGAATTCCTAGAGAAGATGCCTATCCTTCAAAGTTCTTCGGGGTCCAATTGGCATAGCCATTGCTAGAACATTTCTTGTCCCTTCCTTCTTCCCATTTTGGGTTTCAAGTATAAAGTTTTTTAGTTAATGCACATTTGCCCCTCATCCACAGCAATGGGCACTTGAGTGTGCTTTTTAAAGTGTTCGCTATGGATTGTGGTTCCTACAGCCCCTGGCCATTAGCTATGCCAGTTGGGTTTTTTGAGGAGATGCAGTCCATACAGTATTCATAGGGGGTAGATTGCTTATCCCTGGTTAACAGACTACTGCCTGTAAGGTCTGTGATGCTTTGGAGCTTAGCAGGGAGACTCTTGTTTGGTTTATTTGGAAGCTGTTAGTACCATTCTCCATTTTCCCCATCTCTTCCCTTATTGGTTCTTTTGACAGAATTGGCAGCAAGGGAAGTCACTTGATCTGAGACCTTTTTTTTTCAGCCAGGACCTTTGTATATTCCACTGCAAAATCACTATTCATTTTCTCAGAGAAAGGAAAGGTGGAAAAAAGTACTTTTTAAAATCTCTCTTTACTGCAAATACCTAACATTAACTCACACTGTTCTGAAACTTCCGTTATGTTGTTTTGAGTCCAAGAGATGAATGTTCAGAAAGCAAATGGGAAGATGAGAAGACAAATCTTCCTTTTGTAAATGTTCACACAGGAGTGGGGGGGGGAAGCTATTCTCACTGTAAAGGTTGGCAGGTCTTAAATTATTGGCAGAAATTCATTTCTATAATTAGGGGTGAATTATTTCCTGAATATGATATGGTGTGTTCCTTGAGAAATGAGTTATTAATTAAACTATTGCTATGATAGCTTGAAATGATGTTTGACTACTGAAATGTACACGCACATTGGCTAGCTTTCTTTTCCCCTTCTTTCTGGGAATCAAATAGTGCCATGTTATAAGCAGACCAGATATGCTGACTGATAAGCTGTGCCTGCTCTTTTTTTCTTTTTTTAATATATATGTATATATTAACCATGCTTAAATGCGGTTTATGTTGCTGGCCAATAAAGTTAAACGTGTCTTTATTTATAAAGTTAAATGTGTCTTTATTTGTCTTGTGTAATCCTGAACTGATCTCCCTATACAATGGAAGAGTAACAGTGATACATCTTCCTAGGATGAAGACTGTGCAAATGGGAAGTTCTCAATTTTCCTGCTGTCCAGGACCCTCCTTAGCTCAAATATAATTGCCTTTTGGGGTTAATAAAAACAGATTCTACTGCTATCCCTTGCTCATGCATTTCAGAAATCCAGCTCATTTCATCTTCTGAAATATCTGTATTAAAATATTTTTGATACAGTAAACATTAGAGCAAGTCAGGTTCCAGTTTTATGTGCTGGACCAGAGACTAACCATCTGTTGCTGCAGTTAATTTGTAATGTTACCAATGGGTAAGTCTAAATACCCGGTGATCTTGGATGATCTCATAAAGGTTGGCTTTGGATGGGAGATCATCAGAAAATCCCCAAAAATGCAGTCAGAACTGGCAATGCTAGAAGAAGGTAATGGCAAATTACTTCCCTGGCAAATGGCAAATTGTTCCCAAGAAAGCCACACAGATTTGTCCTTGAATCAACATGAGTTTGTTTGGGGTATGTAATGTTCTTTCCAGCTTGAAAGTTGTGTCTGTGCTTTGAATGAGGTACTTGGGGGCTGTGATTAAAAATAAGTGGAGCCAGGATAAAAAAATATTTTTTAGTAATTTTTAAATTAATATCATTACAATTTGATGACGACCCAGTCCAAGTTTTTTTTTTTTGAAAGGATGTATTGTACATGGTCTTGCAACTTGGGATGTGCACCTCTATTTTATAGTGATAATACAAGGATGAAATTGTCTTGCCTCTCTTTCATTCTAGACTATACAGGGAATTATTGTTCCGTGATTACAATTGGGACTAGCAAATCAATTGCTAAGTGATCATGTCTATACTTTAACTTTCCTTTTCCCTGCCCTTTCACTCTCCCACCCTTTGGAATCCTCACCCAAGCACTGGGATAATTAGTTAGAAGAGAATTCATGTTTGTATTTACATGCATTGCAAAGGAAGGGATTATAAAAGTAAACAGGCACACAGTGGAGAATGCACATAGAAAGAAATGAGTTAGCACTCATTGCCTAGTGCACTAGCAGCTCCAAGCAGAAATGTGAAAGTGATTGAAATCTTGTCAGTTACAGGTAGCAGCTGGGAGCCAGTGAATTAAGGTTGCAGAGCTCAGCTTGTTAAGTTGTGGTTATTTATTTATTTATTTATGAGACTTATATACCGCTTTAAGTGCAAGCACTCGCTAAGCGGTGTACACCAGTAAGCAATGTATATATATATTTACATTGCCCCCAACAATCTGGGTCCTCATTTTACCTACCCCAGAAGGATGGAAGGCTGAGTCAACCTTGAGCCGGTGAGATTTGAACCGCTGATCTGCTGAACACAGTCAGCTAAAGTGGCCTGCAGTACTGCACTCTTAACTGCTGCGCCACCTCGGCTCTATATTATCTTTTGGGGAAGCACTGTGATGTAGACAAAAATAGCTGAGGAAGAGATTGCTTATTGAAACAAACTGGGGGGGAAGCAAAAATGGGTCAGGCATAGGACAATGCATATAAACTGACTGTAGTGGCAAACATACAGTAATAGATGCTGTGAAGGCCATAAATACACACCTTGGTCACAAAGTTATTTTTTTCATCATCACCATAACTTCAAAACAGTCAAATGAGGTAGTCAGTAAACAAGGTCTTCCTGTAATTTCTTCAGTCAAAAGCTGATCTATTGCATATTTTTTTTCTATATTGCCTATGACTGACATCTATTACATCAAGCTGTCTTAGTTTGGAGCAATTTGAGATTTCAAATAAAATTAATTTAGTAATTTAAACAGCAACACAGAGGTTCTCTGGTTCTCAACTTTTTGGTCTCAGCTACTTCGACAACACTATCAAATGTAGCAGTAGTTCAGTGACACACCAGAAAATTATTAATGTTATATATGTATTTTTAAACAAGAGACATAGTTTGAGGGAAAGTTATGCAATATTTAAAAATATACAGTTTATACAGGGTATACATAATGCCAAAAAATACAGAAAAAATAAGACGAAATTCCTACAGCACACTGGAGACAAACCCATGGCACACCTGGTTGAGAACCACTGCTTTAGAATCAAATAGAAACATGGGACTTGCTTCTTAGTAAACCTAGGAGTTCTATTGTTGCAGTGTTTTTGTTTAAGAAAAAGCCTTAATGGAAGTAGGAAAGAATAAGCTCACTTCAAAGCATGAAAAAAGTAATCGGTGGGCCCTTGCATTCTTCCTCGGTTTTGAAACTTCTTATTGCATAAGTGCAAAGCGATCCATGGAATATGGGGCGAGACTAACCCAAGATGTGCCCTTATTAAAGGCCCCAAAGGTATTCAGTAGAAGCTTGAGGTTTCCACTCTGCAGTTATGATATCAATCTCTGCTTTATACAGCGTGAAGCAATTTTCCAGTGACAAAAATGCTGTAGTTGGATAGTGGAGGAAAATGAGTGAATTTATTCAGCATTTCAAGTTGGTCATTTCTATCACAGGCCTTCTGTTCTCTGTGAAATTTAAAAGCCCAGGCAATGGGAAACAGAAATAACGATTGGAAACCTCACGAAAACCTAAGATCAATAACATTTCAAAATGTTTTTGTTCTGCTTTTCCTCAGCTCAGTGGTAGCAAGGGGGTCCTCCGTGGGTACATCAATAAGAATGCCTTTCTGTTTTTCATGTGGATGTAACTCCTAACCTCCTGAGCCAGGATTTCATTAAGCCATTGATGTTAAAGATCACATCATTCACATGTAGTGTATAAAGATCTGAAAGCATAAAGAAGAAATAAAAGCCTCCAAGGGAGATTCATGTCCAAACTCCTGATGTTGTACATTGCACTGTAGTAACAACTGGCGTGCTTGTTCAATACCATATAAAATACATTTGTCATCAGGTTTCAATTAAAAGAGTAAAATGTTCTTTGTCTCAAAGAACTCCAAAGACTTTACCATGTAAACTATTTGCTGCTCCTGAGGGGAGAAAGAAAACCCCTCTGACCTTTATTAATTATATTTATTTACTGATTTTCCTTGAGGAGTTTAAGTGGCGTGCATAGTTCTTTCACCCAATTCTATTCTCACAACAATCTGGTGAGGTAGTTTGTCAGAGAGCAAGTAATTTACTCAGAGGTAGTAAATGAGTGACATAGATGTACAATAGAGTTCAAATTAAAGCTTTTTGTTCTCCAATCTCTGAGGGCTCTAACTACTATACCAATTGTCCCCAACCTGAGCAACTTCTAAATGCTTGGAGATATCAACTCCCAGAATTCCATCATCCCCATTGCTGAGAATTCTGGGAGTTGAACTCTGCATATTACAGACCATCAAGAACAGAATGCTGCAGTGCATAATACTGACCATCTACAACAAAGGTGGAGAACTATGGTCCCTTTATGATTAGTGGACTTCAGCTCCCAGAATTCCTGCGCCAGCCATGCTGGTTCAGGAATTCTGGGAGTTGAAGTGAACAAGTGATAAAGGGGCCATAGTTCCCACTTCTGAGCTAAAACAAGGTTTTTACAACTTTTTTGTAATTTTTCAAGACTTCTTCCTACTTTTAAAAATTCTGGAGGACCTCAAAAGAGGTTTTGTTTGTGTGGGTTATATTTATCAATATTTACTATATTTTATTTTTAATGCCACTGCCAATTCTAACAACTGTTTGATGGGATTTGAATATTGCATTATTTTTCAACATAGGCAGGCAAATAATTTTGATTTTGAGGACCTCTAAAAGGATCTTGGGGAATCAGTCACTGTCTAGGGGGTTAGGATCACATTTTAAGAAACACTGTTCTACACCATACAGGCAGTCATACTGACTCTGATTTCAACAAGGATTGAATAAAAATGAACTGTCATCAGAATAACTTGACAATTTTGACTGAAATAGTCCTTTTTCAAAATGATAATTTGTCATATACTTTTTTAAAATCTTGATCTCATTTGTTTCTTACCTAGTAGTTCAAACTGAAGCTAACCCCAATGTTTTCTTCTATTTTCTTTTGCTGTTTGTGGTTAAATGAGAGATCCTACCTTTTTAAAAAAAATTTAGGTGAGAATCATTACCCACTGAGAATCCCAAAGGTGCCTTTTGAAAAGGTAACTGGGCTTTCTCTGTTTTTTTCCCCCTTGAAGTCATTTCACTTCTCATTCAAGAAACATCTTCAGTTCTGAATCCACATCATCACAAAGACGATGGCCATCACAGGGCCAAGGGGATGTGGCTGGGAGAGGAGGGGGCAAATGAGAAGGGAAAGTGAACTACTTGTAAAGTGACCTGTTCTGAAGCAGGAAAGGACAGAAAGGCAGAAAGGCAGGCAGGCAGGCAGGCAGGCAGGCAGGCAGGCAGGCAGGCATTAATTTATGAAGTCTTTTCTGTCAGAGGAAAAGACACGGGGAGGTTTTATCTTGATTGAATTAAAATCATACAGTGATGATTAATTCCCAAGATATATATGTAACTGACCATCCAGGCCTACTGAGTTTTTCAGCTTTGCAAGAATGTCAAGATCCCTCTGATTTGCTGCAGGGAAAGCATCTTTCCTCTGACTGTTGTTGCAGCCTAATGCATATATAACCAGGTCAATAGAGGCAGCTGTTCTCTGTTTCACACTGCCTACTTGCTAGCATTCCAGACCAAAAAAACCTTTGGAGTAGCAAGGAACTGATTTAGACTAGAGAAATAAAGATCTCTCCAATTTTGAAAGGATCCTTCCCCTCCCCCCTCTTGGTTCTTGCCACTCAACCACCTTGCTATGGGAGAGGAGTTTGTCTTGCTGTCTTTAAAGGGCCTCAGTACCAGCTGCCTCTTTTTCAGGGGAACTAAAACGAACATCCCCATCTCTTTCTGGGACAATAGGCTAAGGAGGAGTGTTCAGATTGAGCAACTCCTGAAAGCACTTTTCTCAAGGGACAGCTTTCTGTTGGGTTTGTTATATAGTGACAGAGACAGGCA